GCTCTGCCATGCCCCTCCGCAGATCAAGCAGGCCCAGGATGAGGAGAGGAAGCAGCTGACTCAGCTGAGGGACATGCTGAAGTCGTCGCTGCAGGTGGAGCAGAAGGAGGTGAGCGCTCGTCCCTGCTTTGCTCTGTGCTTCTGCCCGCTGAAAGGTTTCTTAACCTCCCGAGTTTTGTTCTTCTATCAGCATCATTTTAGACGAAGAATGAAGGTGAAAGAACAACAATCCCCTTATGTATATTATATCCCAAGGGCTTATAAAGTCCTCTGTATATTATGTTAATCATGCCCCCTGCATGAGCAGTTCATTTTAAATCTGCGTTTTCAATTTTTTTCTATGCAATTTTAATGTGGATGTCAAAGCACAAAGTTATTTTGTGTCTGATTAAGGGTGTCGAAACAAAGATTTTGGTTTAGTTTTTGTCCTTAGTACAGAAGCTAGTGGAGTACCCTTACGAAGGTTTGCCATAGTATTCCAGCAGAGTGAAGCGAAGAAGTGTTTCTTTAACCAGGGTCCTAGAGAAATCTTGTGTTTTCTGGCGTTTGTGCCTGCCAGTCTCTTAATTACTGAGACTAAGTGATCTCTAATTGCTTTCAAGATCTTTTTTTTTTTAAATTTGCAGCCCTTTAAAAGTGGAACTTCTTATTTATTGGTTAACTATTCGGTGTGATTTAGACCAAAGTAAGGAAGCAAACACTTATTAAAAGCTAAGACGAACCCGAACAGAGTTTGTTTTGGTAAGGATTGTGAGAATGGACCACCTTGAACAGTATATTGTTTAAACCAAAGAGTAAAAGCAGAAACAGGTCAAAAAGGTTTAATCAATCAAATGAATCAATTAAAGGGGTCATGTATTCTCAGTATTTAAGAAATCAGCAGCCATTAAAACTGGAGGAGTATTGCAGTATTTTCCCTGGAGAACCTTTTGAAAAGGTAGCATTATTGAAATGCAGTCAACACCAAATGTGCTGTGTCGTCACTGTATCTGAAGAGTGTTTTCTTTTCCCTTTAAATGCATTCCCCCTTTGCGAACGAAGTCCAGGAGAGTAAGTGTATTTGTGTTCTTGGCAAATGCTTTTCCCCGTTATGTCTGTATCCCTGTAATCCAAATAACCTTTTGGAAACATTGCTTCAGGCTTAAACTGTGCATCTGCTTTAGATGGTCTCTGGGTTTTACTTCTTGAACAGCCAGCATTGACTTAAACACTATCTTAAAACGCGTGAGATCTCTGCCTGGGTTTTTGGAGTGTTTGTGTTCATTTTTCTTTCATTTGGTTTGCAACAGCAGGTACTCTGTGTACACCCAGGCTGTTCAGTGAATCCATTGGTCATTTTTAACTTTCACGGAAAAGACAATCTTCCTTATAATTACAGAAACTCCAGATTGCCTTCTTTTAAATGACACTCCCCCTTATAATTTAAATTCACCAAGCCTAAAAGTACCGTGGCACAGTTAAGTCATTAAAGTCCTGTCAAGTCTCGAGCTCTTGGACGTACTGTACTTCATTCTTGTCATTTGGTAGCTAGAGCCCTTGTCCGAAACGACCCTGACCCATCAGAATGCCTCCAGTGCTCCAGTGTTTCGCACAGTCCGGACAGGAAGGTGTAGAGAGTGCTTGTGTCTGTGGGTACTTATCGAATTTTGTGCTGGACTGTTGTTGAAGGATTCTCAGGTGCGACAGAGTGCCGCCTACAGTTTGCACCAGCCACAGGGGAACAAGGAGCACGGCACCGAACGCAGTGGGTACCTGTATAAGAAGAGCGATGGGTGAATATCCTTCTTTTGCTTGCGATAACGGTCTGCCTCCTCTTCCTGCTCTTCAGAGGGGTTTGCTGCGCGGG